CGACGACCCCATCTCTACTATAAATAGAAAGAAATTATTTGGCCAACTAATAGATATAGAAAAAATTAGCCGGGAGGTGTGCTGCCTGTAGTCCCAGCTACTTGGGAGGTGAGGCAGCAGGATTGCTTAGCCCAGGAGTTTAGGTTGCTTGTGAGGTAGGTGACCCAGCACTCACTCTACCTGGGCAGCCGACCTCTGTCTCAAAAAAAAACAAAAAAAAAAAAACTGTGGATACAAAATTTTCATTTTGTATTCTGACAGCTGGAATAATTTTCCAGACTCTTTTGGAATTATACATTTCAAATCTTAATTTTTCTTTTTCTTTCTTTCTTTTTTTTTTTTTTTTTTGAGACAGAGTCCTTACTTTTGTTGCCCAGGCTAGAGTGAGTGCCCTGCGCATCAGCCTAGCTCACAGCAACCTCAATATCTTGGGCTCAAGCAATCCTGCTGCCTAGCTCCCGAGTAGCTGGGACACAGGCATGTGCCACCTTGCCCGGCTAATTTTTTCTATATCTATTGTTGGCCAATTAATTCTCTTTCTATTTTTAGTAGAGACGGGGTCTAGCTCAGCCTGGTTTTGAACTCCTAACCTTGAGCAATCTGCCACCTGGGCCTCCAGAGGGCTAGGATTACAGGTGCGAGCCACCACGCCGGCCTTTAATATTATTTTTTCTACACTACCCACATAGGCCACAGGACACGTGCTTACAGTGTGGTTCAACTTCTGGCCCTGTACTTTCCCTATCAGGATATTAGGCAGTCTGGTAGCCATTTCTTCTTTTTTTTTTTGAGGCAGGATCACACACTGTTGCAATGGCCCGGCCAAATTTCTTTTTATTTATAGTAGAGAAGACGGGGGTCTTACTCTTGCTCAGGCTGGTTTGGAACTCCTGAGGTTGAGTGATTCGCCTGCCTCGGCCTCCTAGGGTGCTAAGATTATAGGCATGAGCCATGGTGCCCGGCCTTTTTAAATTTCTTAAGTCAGGCATGATTTAGGACCCCTTTTTGTTTGATCTTCCAGTGCGAAAGTGAAGTTGAAATTCCCAGCGTGCCAGTAATTCAGTTTTACCCTCAATTATACAAACAGCGGTACCGGTTTGTTGAAGATTTAGTGTATCGTTATGAACCCAAGAAGGTACGTATTCCTTTCCAAACAATTAATTACTGAGACTGTCTCATGAAGTGGTTTGTGAAATGCAGCAATAGAGTCTTTTTCAAAGGGATTTTTGCAATAGGCTATAAGATCACAAGTATCTCAAGAGTTCAATAAAAAAGGTTTTTCTTTTACCAGAGAATTGAACAAAGCTAGAAAGTAGTGAGGAAGTGGGATGAAAGAGTGGAATAGAAAGATGGTAGAATATTCTGGGGGACCTGAAAGAGGTGCCGTTTGTTTCCTTGGGCCAAAGTTCAAAGGCCTGGGGAAGAAAGGAAAGTTTTCTTAAAGTATGATTAAAAAGGGAATTTTCTTCCTAGTAATCAGTGGGGACAAGTAGTTGTGGTAATCATTTGAGGCAAGGAATGGCAACACAAGGAATCTTATCTGAGTCTTATGGGGCAGGGTGGTTCTTTGCAGTGAGCCCTTTCCTGGATCCCAAAGCAGGTAGACTCTTGTAGCCCAGCTCAGATAGAATTTAGTGTTGCCAGATTCAAATGTGAAGAAGGAAATCTTGATTTATTTTTCAGTTGGATGTGATCTTGTAGGTTCCACTTTCCTAGAATTAGATTATCAGGCAAGCTGGGTATTGTAGCCATGGGCTCTTTTTAGATTACGGGATGGACCTACTCAGCCAACTTCAGAGGCAAGTCATGCTTTCATATAATATCCATACAGACCTGGTTACCATACTAATGGATGGATCTGGAGGTAGACCAGATGCTGATAAGCTGAATTTCTAGATGAAAGGTTTGTTTTTCTGCTTAGTGTTGAAAACTTTGAAGATTCCTGTGTGTGAAGGCTTCCTTTATTTTAACTGCACCACTACTATTTATATACTTGCACACAAAGGTGGAGGTGTTTGTTTACATATTTGTAGCTAACTAGGCTCCTGAATTCACTTAAAAATTGCTTTTGTGGCAGTGCAGAGTTCAATATGGAATTTCATATGGCTTGATGTAATGGATTCATCAAATAAGAAATGACTGTCTTCTATGTGTGAGAATTGAATGAAAGCAGAGTTTTAGAAAGCTTTGCTTTTTCTAAAATATGATGCTTAGAATATTTAAGACTTAAGTTCTGATTCTGAATGGGAAAACACAATTTGTGTACCAAATTCTCATTAGGCCAATACAGACAATAACAATTATTCTGGAATACTGTTTTTTTTCTATTTTCCTTTGATCAAATAGAAATACCTATTTTCCCACAGGCTTATTAAGTCTCAAATTTTTTTTTCCCTTTTTTTGTTTTAGATAGTCTCACTCTGCCCAGGCTAGAGTGCCATGGCATCAGCCTAGCTCACTGCTACCTCAGACTCCTGGGCTCAAGCAATCCTTCTGCCTCAGCCTCCCGAGTAGCTGGGACTACAGGCATGCGCCACCATGCCCAACTAATTTTTTCTATATATTTTAGTTGGCTAATTAATATTCTTTCTATTTTTAGTAGAGACAGGGTTTCGCTCTTGCTCAGCCTGGTTTCAAACTCCTGACCTTGAGCGATCCACCCACCTCGGACTCCCAGAGTGCTAGGATTACAGGTGTGAGCCACCATGCCTGGCCCCGGCTAATGTTTTCTATATATTTTTAGTTGGTCAATTAATTTCTTCCTATTTTTAGTAGAGGTGGGGGTCTTGCTCTTGCTCAGGCTGGTCTGAAACTCCTGAGCTCAAGCAATGCTCCTTTCTCAGCCTCCCAGAGTGCTAGGATTCACAGGCATGAGCCACTGGGCCCAGCATCTCATTTGTTTTTATGTACACTGGTTCACCAAAAATGTCCTATGTAAGCGTTTTATGACCAATATTCACTTCTCTCCCCCTCCAAAGTTTTTGATTATACTTCTCTGGCTACAAATGTCTTTGAAATAACATTTTGTCTCATACAGGTTGCAGACCTGGGATGTGGTGATGCTTCACTCTTAAGGCAGTTGAAAAAATTGTCATGCATTGAATTGCTTGTTGGAGTGGATATCAAGGATGAGCACAATTTAGAAATGGATGGGTAATATCTAGTTTCTGAATTAATGCATTAGTCTTAAACTAGTGGCATTATTAATTACACTTAGAGAAAGTTGATTTTATAAAACATATTTTAAAAGAGTGGGGCTATTGGATTCTCCCAGCTCACTGAATAATCAGGCTTTGCCTTAGCACTAATTGGTTGTATACTGCATGTATAGTGCCTGTATTTTGTTTGTTCCAACTTAAAGCCTCAATTAAGTCCATAGTCAAAGCAATTCAAAGTCAATTTAAGATGGCAAAATCTTGTCACTTTAATGCCAGACACAACTTTTGGGTTTGTTTTTGTTTTGAGACAGTCTTTGCTTGGTTGCCTGGGCTAGAGTACCCTGGAATGCCTAGCTCACAGCAAAAGGCACAATAATTTATAACAGGTATTAAAATGCCCCAGAACACACTTATCTCCTATTCTGTGTTGAAGCAGAGCATTTCTCCTCTATCTTGTATATACAGTATATATATTTGATTTCTGATTGTTTCAGGAATGTTTTTCTTCTTAAGAACAATCTGAAAATCACTGATCCTGTTTTGTTTTTGTTTTTTTTGAGAGTCTCACTCTGTTGCCTGGGCTAAAAGCTCACAGCAACCTCAGACTCCTGGGCTCAAGTGATCCTTCTGCTTCAGCCTGCTAAGTAGCTGGGACTACAGGCATGTACCACCATGTCCTGCTAATTTTTTCTATTTTTAGTAGAGTCGAAGGTCTTGCTCTTGCTCAGGCTGGTCTCTAACTCCTGAGCTCAAATGATCCACTCGCCTTGGCCTCCCAAGAGTGCTAGGATTATAGGTGTGAGCCACCATGCTCCACCTGATCCTGGTTTTTAATACATCAAGACAAGGAAAACAAGTAATGTCAGATCACATCAGTGTAGGTAGAATATAATTGTATGGGGTATCTGATTTCTATAGCTATTGAGAATTTCTAAATAGGCTGTGTTCACAATGGCTCTTTTGTAAAAATTCATTTGCAGGTATTATCTGCGACCCTACATCACACAACGCTTGTTCCCCCGAGAGCTGGAATTGACTATTATATTGTATCAAGGGTCTGTTGTGGAGAGAGACTCTCGTTTGCTTGGATTCGACATGATAACATGCATTGAATTGTAAGTTTTAAAGTGACTTATGCTATATAATTTGGAAAATCTGAAAGAATTAAGACTCAATAATCTTAGTGTTAATACTTAGGTCTTTGTCATGATATTTGTAAAGAAAATTGCTCATCAGTTTGGAATATCATTTTACTTTCCCATTTCAACATTTTACGTGGCAATTTCAATTATACAGATGAATTGCAAAAAATATATAGTTCTGGCTGGGCGAGGTGGCTCATACCTGTAATCCTAGCACTCTGGGAGGCCGAGGCGGGCGGATTGCTTGAGATCAGGAGTTCGAAACCAGCCTGAGCAAGAGCGAGACCCCGTCTCTATTATAAATAGAAAGAAATTAATTGGCCAACTAATATATATACAAAAAATTAGCGGGCATGTGGCGCATGCCTGTAGTCCCAGCTACTAGAGAGGCTGAGCACGGGGATTGCTTGAGCCCAGGAGTGAGGTTGCCATGAGCTAGGCTGACGCCACGGCAATCTACAGGGCAACAAAGCGAGATTCTGTCTTAAAAAAAAAAAAAAAAATAAAATATATATTATATATTATATAGTTATATAGTATATATAGTTCAAGGACAATATACTCTTTAGCCAGATACCCCATTTCCTTTATCATTTGTACATGTGTACCCTTCTCCCTCATTTTACCTTCTCTTCTCCCCTTTTCCCTCCTTTCAGTTTTTCCTGAGCCAATTAAGGGTAGGTTATACATATGGCCCTTTGCACCCATTAAAACAATTCAATTTAAAACCTGGAGGCATTGCACTTCCTGACTTCAAGATATACTACAAAGTGGTAGCAACTAAAGAAGATGGTATTGGTGTAAAAACAGACACATAGACCGATGGAACAGCATAGAAACCCCAGAAATCCACATCTTCACAGCCAAAGGCATCAAGAACATAAATTGGGGAAAGGATACCCTCTTCTGTAAATGGTGTTGGAAAAACTGGATAGCTATGCAGAAGAATGAAACTAGACCACTATCTCTCAACATATACAAAAATAAACTCAATGGATTAAAGACATAAATATAAGACCAGAAACTATAAAACTATTAGAAAACATAGGGAAATGCTTTATTTAGGACACTGATCTAGGCAAAGATTTTATGGTAAGATTACAGAAAAAACAGGCAACAAAAAAGAGAAAACGGGACTATGTAAAACTAAAGCTTTTGCTTAGTTTTTTAGAAAGGAAACTAAGGGCTTGAAATAACAACATAAAATGTTTGCAAAGTATTCATCTTTAAGGAACTAATGTCCAGAATATATAAAGAACTCAATAGTAAAACTAATAAATGGGCAAAGGATTGGAATAGATACTTCTCAAAAGAGGATATACCAATGGCCAACAGGGTTATGAAAAAATACTCAGAATTGCTAATCATAAGGGAAATGCAAATCAAAACCACAGTGAGATTATCTCACCCCAATTAGGATGGTGGTTATTAAAAAGACAAGTGACAAATTCTGGCAAGGATGTGGAGAAAAACTTTTATAAACTGTTGAGAATGTGAATTAGCCATTATGGGAAAACACGTACATTCAAGTCTCTAGTCTCACCAGCACTTACTATTTTCCATTTTCATAGTAGCCTACCTGATAGGTTTGAGATATAGTATCTTATTATGATTTTCATTTGCATTTCCTTAATGATCATGGTAATGACCATCTTTTCATATGCCTAATGGCAATTTGTGTATCTTACTTGGAGAAATGTCTATCAAAATCCTTCTGCCCTTTTCTCATTCCTCACATCTCAAAAAAAAAAAAAAAAAAAAATTAATAAAAATCCCTCTGCCCGGCCGGGCATGGTGGCTCTCGCCTGTAATCCTAGCACTCTGGGAGGCCCAAGCGGGTGGATTGCTCAAGTTCAGGAGTTCGAAACCAGCCTGAGCAAGAGCGAGACACCGTCTCTACTATAAATAGAAAGAAATTAATTGGCCAACTAATATATATACAAAAAAATCAGCCAGGCATCGTGGCTCATGCCTGTAGTCCCAGCTACTTGGGAGGCTGAGGCAGAAGGATCACTTGAGCCCAGGAGTTTGAGGTTGCTGCAAGATAGGCTGACACCACGGCACTCGCTCTAGCATGGGCAACAAAGTGAGACTGTCTCAAAAAAAAAAAAAAAATCCTTCTGCCCTTTTTAAATTAAGTTTTTTATTGTTGAATTTTAGGGGTTCTTGATATTTTCCAGATATTAATCCCTTATAAGATTTATGATTTACAAATATTTTCTCCCATTCCTCTATAGTCTTATTAAATGAGAAATCATCTAATAAAATTTTTTCCAAATTGTATTTTTTGTACCATGTATGATATCTTTTTTTCATCAGTTGTGTTTAAATCCTGAAACTTGTTCTGCATCTCCTGTTTAGCACATAATTCATTGTAGCTAATCTTTTTCACAGTATTCTACCTTACACTACTCTGCCAGCCCTGGTGATTTTCATTTAAACCGAGTTTCATGCCAGGGAACCCTACTCCATCCTAGGTCATTATGTTTATTTATGTCCAGATAAGTCCTTTTGAGCATTTGGTGTGTTATTACGTGAATTATTTAAGTCTAATCAGTCTCGTAGTACTTGTCCTATAACTTAACTATATTTTCAACTTCTTTACCATTTTTTTTTTTTTATGATGTTTTTATGAGACAGTGTCGCACTCTGTTGCCCAGGCTAGAGTGCTGTGGCGTCAGCCTAGGTCACAGCAACCTCAAACTCCTGGGCTCAAGCGATCCTTCTGCCTCAGCTTCTCGAGTAGCTGGGACTACAGGCATGTGCCACCATGCCCTGATAATTTTTTCTATGTATTTTTAGTTGTCCAATTAATTTCTTTCTATTTTGTTTTTTTTTTTTAGTACAGCCAGGGTCTTGCTCTTGCTCAGGCTGGTCTCAAACTCCTGACCTCAAGCGATCCACCCGCCTCAGCCTACCAGAGTGCTAGGATTATAGGAGTTAGCCACCACACCCGTCCTAATTTCTATTTTCTCAGTAGAGATGGGGTCTCATTCTTGCTCTGGCGGGTCTTGAACTCCTGAACTCAAGGAATCCTCTGGCCTCACAGAATGCTAGGTTTACCGGTTGAGCCACTGCCCTATATGCTTTCTATATGTGAGCCACTGGCCTATATGCTTTCTTATGTTAGAATGAGTCTTGTGACTATAAGAGCAGACATTTCCCCCAACTGTGTTTTTTGACTTTATTTTTAAAATCCATTGAAAATACAGTGAAATTAATATTATATGGAGGCTATATGTCTATGAATTTTAACATAGTTTAATATAACCTTTACCTCAGCCAGGGAACAGAACATTTCCACCATCTCAAATATCTGTTTTTTACTACCCCATTGTGACCACACCCCTCCAACCCCCGTTATTTTTTTTCTATATATTTTTAGTTGGCCAATTAATTTCTTTCTATTTATAGTAGAGACGGAGTCTCGCTCTTGCTCAGGCTGGTTTTGAACTCCTGACCTTGAGCAATCCACCCGTCTCGGTTCCCAGAGTGCTAGGATCATAGGCGTGAGCCATCGCACCTAGCCTTTGACATTTAGTTTTTTTTTTTTTTTTGAGACAGAGTCTCACTTTGTAGCCCAGGCTAGAAGTGAGTGCCAGCCTAGCTCACAGCAACCTCAAACTCCTGTGCTCAAGCAATCCTGCTGCCTCAGCCTTCCGAGTAGCTGGGACTACAGGCATGCGCCATCATGCCTGGCTAATTTTTTCTCTATATATTAGTTGGCCAATCAATTTCTTTTCTATTTATAGTAGAGACGGGGTCTGGCTCTTGCTCAGGTTGGTTTCGAATTCCTGACCTCGAGCGATCCTCCCGCCTCGGCCTCCCAGAGTGCTAGGATTACAGGCGTGAGCTACCGTGACCAGCCGGCATTTAGTTTTTATATAATTTAATGGTACAAGAGATTCTCACATGTTGTTCACTCAGATTCACCATTTGACCCCATTTATTTTTTTTAAATATAATTTTTTACATTATTGTTCATCTGAACCATCTGAGAGCAGGTTGAAGACATTGTGTCCCTTTATCCCCAAATACCTCAGTATATATTTTCTAGAACAAAGACTTATTACCATAACCCCAGTACATTAGGTTATTTATTTATTTATTTATTTGAGGCAGAGTCTTGCTTTGTTGCCCAGGCTAGAGTGAGTGCTGTGGTGTCAGCCTGGCTCACAGCAACCTCAAACTCCTGGGCTCAAGCAATCCTGCTGCCTCTGCCTCCGGACAGGCATGAGCCACCGTGCCCGGCCACATTAGGAAATTTAACTTTGATACAGCACTATTACCTAATCTATAGTCCATACTCAAAAATCATTAATTCCAGTAATGTTTTTCTACAGCTGTTTATTTATTTTTTATATTTTTATTTATTTATTTATTTTGAGACAGAATCTCACTCTGTTACCCGGGCTAGAGTGCCATGGCGTCAGCCTACCTCACAGCAACCTCAAACTCCTGGGCTCAAGCAATCCTACTGCCTCAGCCTCCCAAGTAGCTGGGACTACAGGCATGTGCCACCATGCCCGGCTAATTTTTTCTAGATATTTTTAGTTGGCCAATTAATTTCTTGCTCAGACTGGTTTCGAACTCCTGACTTTGAGCAATCCGCCCTCTTCGGCCTCTCAGAGTGCTAGGATTATAGGTGTGAGCCACTTCACCTGGCCTCTACAGCTATTTAAATTTAGCTATAGTTTAAAATGGTTCAGGATAGCAGTGACAATCAGTTGTCAGTGGTGGTTTGGGCTCCCTTAATCTGAAGCAGGTTTGCTCAATCTTTCTGCTTTCTCTTCTTTGCCCTTGATTTCTGAAGAATACATGCTAATTGTCTTGTAGAGTGCCCCACCCCCTCCCTTATGGGTTTGTCTGCTAACTCATTATTAGACTTAGGGTATGCATTTTTGACAAGAATACCATAAAAGTGTTGTTGGGAGGTAGAAGCTCAGGTACCTTTTGGCACTATTGATAATAAGACCATAGAGTACGGAAATGGACCTTAGCTGGATAAGGGATGGGTGGAGTTGGGGGTTGGAAAGGATGAGAATGTATGAGTAATTGTTCTTAGGCCATTTAAGCTCTTATGTAGAGTTGGAGATTGTTTTAAGTCAATTAGAAAAATGGGTGCAAGTGAAACTGGATTTTATACTCTTCCCATTTGACTATTTTAGAATAGAACATTTGAATCCAGACGATCTGGCCAAATTTCCTGAAGTGGTATTTGGGTACCTGTCTCCATCCATGGTTGTCATCAGCACACCAAACTCTGACTTCAATCCCCTATTTGAAGTAGTGACTGTAAGAGACTTTGATCATAAATTTGAGTGGAGTAGGAAGGAATTCCAGAGTTGGTAAGTTCATTAGGGATTTTATTTTTTTTGGGGGGGAGGGATCTTACTAGAGTTTAAAATCCTAGGAAGCAAATCTTCATGTGTATATTTAATATATATAATTTTTCCAATAAAATTGATTACCAGGCTGGGCGCAGTGGTTCACGCCTGTAATCCTAGCACTCTGGGAGGCTGAGGCAGGCAGATTGCTCAAGGTCAGGAGTTCGAAACCAGCCTGAGCAAGAGCGAGACCCTGTCTCATAAATAGAAAGAAATTAATTGGCTAACTAATATATATAGAAAAAATGAGCCGGGCATGGTGGTGCATGCCTGTAGTCCCAGCTACTTGGGATGTGGAGGCAGGAGGATCGCTTGAGCCCAGGAGTCTGAGGTTGCTGTGAGCTAGGCTGATGCCATGGCACTCACTCTAACCTGGGCAACAAAGCAAGACTCTGTCTAAAAAAAAAAAAAAATTGATTTTTTAATGCGTGACTTAGCATGTAGTGAGGTCATAAGGAACCATCACATTTGGGACAGGTATGGAAAAGGGGTGTGGCCACCAGGTACCTTTTATGTGAAGGTACTGTAGTGTTGGCACAGAGATGGACAAGGAGGAAGGTTTGGGGCTGAGAAAGAGCCTCATGCCCCTGCCCAGGGATATCTCCTGAGGGCCGGTCATTTTTTCTGTCTGGTGTCATTGCGAACCCAAATAAGTAGTTGGGTTGTAGCCCTTGTAGTCTCCTTGTCCACCCCTAACCTACACCCTTCCCTATAACTTTCCTTTTCTCCCATACTCTTGTGGTAACTTGGAAACTGACACTATATCATTGCCTGAACTCTTTCACAGAAATAAATACAGCAAACGCCATGATATGGTGGTGTTGAAATTTGTAACTTTATGAGCATTTTAGTTCATTGTGTTTTTCATCTTATACTGTACAGCTGACCAGAAATCATTGTTTATTTAACAAATAGCTCTAAGATTTCTCTCCTTGTTTTTGATTCCAGGGCTTTACGCGTGGCAGAGACCTATAGTTACTCTGTGGAGTTTACTGGTGTGGGAGAACCACCAGCTGGAGCTGAGAGTGTTGGATTCTGTACCCAGATTGGCATCTTTCGGAAAAACGGGGCAAAGGCAGCCGAGTCGTGTGCTTCAGAGCAGCGTGAACAGCATGTTTATAAGCCTGTGAGTGTTCTTTCTCTGTGAGGCAGCTATCGGGGCAGGAAGTGCATTTATTAGGATGGTGAACTCTTTTTGGGTAAAAGTCCCCAAAGTAGAGATGAGTATAAATGACCTTATGTTTTGTGGCTCCACCAAGGAGAATCCTTCAGGCCCCATGACTGTTGGCAGGGTTGGTCTACGGCATCCTTTTGAGACCACCTATCCTTTGCCCTGCCTCAAAGAATGTTTCAGGAATGATCTGCTGGAGTTGTCTCAGAAGACTTCAAAGCAGTACTGCAGCAACCTCTTTGTAATCTGTTAGGTTTATCAGCACTAAGGAGGAATGCCAGCAAGACTTCTTCCCCAGCGAAGTCTCAGGGAATGACTATTAGACTTGAGCCTTCAAACATTTCAGATCCTTTTGGTTTCAAGAAGTGTCATGAAAAAGATCTTTTTCCTTTTAACTGAACCATTTTTCTTTTTTTCTCCGTTTTTCCTGTGATAAGTAGGAATGTTGGGTTAGTGTGAATTAGTAGAAACCTGGCTGGGAGATGGTGGACATTATTAGAATTAGCAAATCAGATAGCTAATGTCCACACATCAGTTGTTGGATTCCCATTACAACTGAGGAATTGACGATAGTAAATGGTAGGAATCTGACATGTGTCTAATATGTATATTTAGTCAATTTCTTATGTTAGAGTTAGTGATGGCTTTGAAAATTCTCCTGTTGTAAGTGTTTTGTTTTTCCCCCCTTTAGGTTGTTACAATCTCATTCCCAAGTCTGCAGCAGGAAAAATACTTCAAGACCACGGTGGTTAGTGAAGTGTGCAAACAAGTGAAAATCATGCGAATGGAATATCTGCGTGGGCTGAAGGAACAGGAGGAGGGCAGGGAACCGAGTAACGAGTCAGACCCTCGCTTATTGGCCCCCATGCTATGGGAGGGACAACTCTATACAGAAGCTGAAAAAGCTAGGATAGAGGCGTCTGCTAAGCCCTTCAGTGTTAAAGATAAGTTCTATGTGCCCCTGCAAAGGCTCCCTGCTTATGTCAGGCTGCACCACTTAGGTGTTAGCGAAGAAAGAATTAGGTCAGTCCTTGCTGACTCCGGAACTTTGAGCAGCGATGGTTCTGCAGTGGCGATTGACCTGCACGATCCTCCTGAACCCGATGATTATTCCGATGATTATCCTGATGGTGACGATTATCCTGATGGTGATGATTATCCTGATGGTGATGATTATCCTGATGGTGATGATTATCCTGATGGTGATGTTGATTATCCTGATGGTGGTGATGATTATCCTGATGGTGGTGATGATTATCCTGATGGTGGTGATGATTATCCTGACGGTGATGATTATCCTGATTGTGATTATCATCCCGGAGATGAGCCCGGAGATGAGCCTGGAGATGAGCCCGGAGCTATCCTTATATCCTGAGATTCAGGATCTTTGATATTTGGGCTCAGAATTTCGTTTGAACTTCTTATGTAGTTGTAGTTCAAGTAATGTTTTTAAAGTTTTAGTATGCATGTCCAAGTTTAAAGCTGGTGGACAAATCTTGGCTTACAGACAGACTGCTGTAAGCCCTGAGAAAGATACGAGGGTTCAACAAGGGTGTGCTTTTTTTTGAAACTGGACATTTTCTTTGATTTTTTTCCAAGAATAAAGTAATTGGATACGGTAATGTCTTAATTTTGAACTTATTTTTATTAGAGCCATTACTTGGGTGTGACATTATTAAGAGTTATGAAATATGCTGTTTAAAGTCTTTACCAAGGGGGTAGAAGTAGCTTTAAAAAATCTTTCTAGGATTTTGTATCTCCTTTGGGCCAAATTCTGTTCCAGGCAATACTTAACCTAAAACATCACACCAAACAGGGATGCAGGTGTTTGCAGGGCATAGAGACCTCTTCATGATGTAACTACTGTCCACTTTTTTTTTTTGAGTCAGAGTCTCAGTCTGTTGCCTGGGCTAGAGTGCTGTGGCATCAGCCTAGCTCACAGCAACCTCAAACTCCTGGGCTCAAGCAATCCTCCTGCCTCAGCCTCTGCACTAGAAGAATGTGCCACCATGCCCGGCTAATTTTTTTAAATATATGTATATTTTTTAGTTGTCCAGCTAATTTCTATTTTTTTTTTTTTTTTGAGAAGCACGTTCGCTTTGTTGCCCAGGCTAGAGTGAGTGCCGTTGGCGTCAGCCTAGCTCACAGCAACCTCAAACTCCTGGGCTCAAGTTGATCCTTCTGCTCAGCCCTCCCGGGTAGCTGGGACTACAGGCATGTGCCACCATGCCCGGCTAATTTTTATATATATATCAGTTGGCCAATTAATTTCTTTCATTTATAGTAGAGACGGGTCTCGCTCTTCATCAGCTGGTTTCTCGAACTCCTGACCTTGAGCAATCCGCCCGCCTCGGCCTCCCAAGAGCTAGGATTACAGGCGTGAGCCACAGCGCCCGGCCTCTATTTTTTTTTAGTAGAGATGGGGTCTCACTCTTGCTCAGGCTGGTCTCAGGATCCTCCCGCCTTGGCCTCCCAGGGTGCTAGGATTATGCATGAGCCACTGCTCCTGGGCAGTCTACGTTTTTTGTTTTTGTTTTGTTTTTGGAGACAGAGTCTCGCTTTGTTGCCCAGACTAGAGTGAGTACCATGGCTTCCTTCAGCCTAGCTCACTGCAACCCCAAACTCCTCAAGCAATCCTCCTGCCTCAGCCTTCCAAGTAGCTGGGACTACAGGGATGTGCCACCATGCCCGGCTAATTTTTTCTATATATATTAATTGGCCAATTGATTTCTTTCTATTTATAGTAGAGACGGGGTCCTATTTTTTTTTAGTAGAGATGGGGTCTCACTCTTGCTCAGGCTGGTTTCGAACTCCTGACCTTGAGCAATCCGCCCGCCTCGGCCTCCCAAGAGCTAGGATTACAGGCGTGAGCCACAGCGCCCGGCCTCTATTTTTTTTTAGTAGAGATGGGGTCTCACTCTTGCTCAGGCTGGTTTCGAACTCCTGACCTTGAGCAATCCGCCCGCCTCGGCCTCCCAGAGAGCTAGGATTACAGGCGTGAGCCACCGCGCCCGGCCTTATGTTTTTTTTTTGAGTGACTTCTTATCCAGGAGCTTTCTGGTTGCAGTTGGAATGGTAGTACAAATGGGAGAAATGTCCAGAGGTAAACTGACAGGCATATTGGCTCTGCCATCTTAGGGACCTAGATGTCAAGTGTCACTTATTGTGGCATACTTAGCATGCATCTTGGGACAAAGAGGTTTGAGCTTTAGCTACCACTTGCATATTCTAAAACATAAAGGAAAAGTGGGACAAAGGGCATGTGGCAGCTGTCTGGTAATGTTTGCTGCAAGTTGTTCTTGGCACTTCCTGTTTCTTGCTATTGACCAGAATGAAATCTTAGGGGCACACATAGCAGCAAGGGAAGCCTGAAAGTGTAATCTTATCCAGGTAGGCCATGTGCCTACTTGGTGGTCTGCCAAAGAACAAGAGGAAAAGGGACATTGTGGCAAGCAACCCGTTTGTGGCACAACTGGAATATCCTAATCTGAATGGCAATGCTGGTGCAGAGTCAGTTCCTGGGAAAAGCTGCCTGGGGACAGTTATTCTCAAGTTTGAACCTTAATTATTAAGTAGATGAGGCTGGGTGCTCGTGGCTCATGCCAGTGTCTCATCTACTCAGAGAGCTGAGGTGGCAGGATCCTTCAGCCCAGGAGTTTGAGGCTACAATAGTGAGCTGCTACGATGCCACTACATTCCACCTTGGGCAACAGATTGATACCCTGTCTGAAAAAAGTCAATGGAAAGAGGATTTGATTAGATGGGAGAGGATGAAGGGATTCTGGAAGAGAATAGTTTTTTTTTTTTTTTTTTGAGACAGAGTCTCGCTTTGTTGCCAGGTAGAGTGAGTGCCGTGGCTTCAGCTAGCTCAGCAACCTCAAACTCTGCGCTCAGCAATCTCTGCCTCAGCCTCCCGAGTAGCTGGGACCACAGGCATGCACCACCACGCCCGGCTAATTTTTTGTATATATATTTTTAGTTGTCCAATTAATTTCTTTCTAGTAGAGACGGGGTCTCGCTCCTGCTCAGGCTGGTTTCAAACTCCTGACCTTGAGCAATCCATCCGCCTTGGCCTCCCAGAGTGCTAGGATTACAGGTGTGAGCCACCTCACCCGGCCAAGGAAGAGAATAGTTTTTTAATCACATAAACACTGCTAAATCGGCTGTTTTTTCCATGAATTTCATAAACGGCTCTGTTGGACTTCCCATGTATCTACACCGATTTCCCCTTCCACTGGAGTGTCACATGGGCATGTGATCTAGAGATTTGTACTCCTGCCCTGCCTCACCCATTCTCTAAGGCCCTCTTGTCCTCACCTTTTAGGCCTCTGCAGTTTTCACCCTAGGGGTCCCTTCTCATCATTGCCCTTTTGTATTAGAGCCAAGGTTTCTAGCCAAGGTCAGTCCTTTCTCTTTCTCCAAAGTTAGTTGATTAACTTTATCCAAACCTAATCGCTGGAACCCTCACCTGGAATTATTTATTTATTTTTGAGACAGAGTCTCACTCTGTTGCCCGGGCTAGAGTGCTGTGGCATCAGCCTAGCTCACAGCAACCTCAAACTCCTGGGCTCAAGCCATCCTCCTGCCTCAGCCTCCCAAGTAGCTGGGACTACAGGCATGCACCACCATGCCCGGCTAATTTTTTCTATATATATCAGTTGGCCAATTAATTTCTTTCTATTTATAGTAGAGACGGGGTCTCGCTCTTGCTCAGGCTGGTTTCGAACTCCTGACCTTAAGCAATCCGCCCGCCTCGGCCTCCCAAGAGCTAGGATTACAGGCGTGAGCCACAGCGCCCGGCCTCTATTTTTTTTTAGTAGAGATGGGGTCTCACTCTTGCTCAGGCTGGTCTCAGGATCCTCCCGCCTTGGCCTCCCAGGGTGCTAGGATTATGCATGAGCCACTGCTCCTGGGCAGTCTACGTTTTTTGTTTTTGTTTTGTTTTTTGAGACAGAGTCTCGCTTTGTTGCCCAGGCTAGAGTGAGTGCCATGGCTTCAGCCTAGCTCACAGCAACCTCAAACTCCTGGGCTCAAGCGATCCTCCTGCCTCAGCCTCCGAGTAGCTGGGACTACAGGCATGCGCCACCATGCCTGGCTAATTTTTTATATATATATTAGTTGGCCAATTAATTTCTTTCTATTTATAGTAGAGACGGGGTCTCGCTCTTCTAGTAGAGACGGGGTCTCGCTCTTGCTCAGGCTGGTTTCGAACTCCTGACCTCGAGCAATCCGCCCGCCTCGGCCTCCCAGAGAGCTATCTTGCTCAGGCTGGCTTCGAACTCCTGACCTTAAGCAATCCGCCCGCCTCGGCCTCCCAAGAGCTAGGATTACAGGCGTGAGCCACAGCGCCCGGCCTGGAAAACTTTTAAGTACTCATGACAGAAATGGGGCTGAAGCTACTCTTTTCTCTTGGCCCTCCTAGTCTTTCTGCAGCTTCTGTATCAACATTCTTGAAGTTTATATCTTTACCGCTCTACCTTGATACAGGCCTTTCTTTGCACATTGAAAGGCTCAAATACTTTGAAGCCAGAGGTTGGCAAACATTTTTGTAGGGTTAGATAGTAAATCTTTTCCAGGTCATCTGGTCTCTCTCACAACTACTCAACTCTGCTTGGGTTGAGTATAAGCAGCCTTAGATAATATGTAAAAATGTGGGTGTGCCTGTGTTCACTAAAACATTTACTAAAAAGGCAGCTGCCAGATTTTGTCCATAGTTTGCAGACCCTTATTCTAAACAAAGTCAAACACCATTTACCTTTTAGTAGCACAGAAATGGTATTCTTTCTAAAGGGGAAAAAAATCAATTACAGATCTAATTCCCTACTGCCATAAATTCCTGAGGCTATAAATGCAGAAGCAACCAAAGTCAGGTTTGCTAAGGAAGTTTTTACCTGACGTGTAAAGGTTCTTGTAAGTGCTAAGGGTATAATGCCTGGCACAAGGTTCTTGTAAGTGCTAAGGGTATAATGCCTGGCACAAGGTATGTGTTCTATCTGAGGTAACCATGTTGATCTTAGGAGTATTGTTAGAGAATCTCACTATCCATTCTTTTTTTTTTTTTTTTTTTTGAGACAGAGTCTCGCTTTGTTGCCCAGGCTAGAGTGAGTGCCATGGCATCAGCCTAGCTCACAGCAACCTCCAACTCCTGGGCTCAAGCGATCCTCCTGCCTTGCCTCCCGAGTAGCTGGGACTACAGGCATGCACCACCATGCCCGGCTAATTTTTTCTATATATATTAGTTGGCCAATTAATTTTTCTATTTATAGTAGAGACAGGGTCTCGCTCTTGCTCAGGTTGGTTTCGAACTCCTGAACTCAAACGATCCGCCCGGCTCGGCCTCCCAGAGAGCTAGGATTACAGGCGTGAGCCACCGCGCCCGGCCTCACTATCCATTCTTGCAGGGTTCATTCTTATATCCAGGCAGCCAGTTTTCACAGCAGCGCATATTGTAGACCTAGAGAGTGAAGATTAACATTCCTCTGCAAGATTGTTTCTAGAACAGAATGGTCAAATACACCACAGGTTTATGGAAAGAAGCAGAACAGTGGCAACCCTACACTCTATGTGTAGAATCCCCTCTGCTTTATATAGAAAGAGTTGTATGTACCTCCTACCCAGATCT